CTCTTCTCTTCTCTCTTCTCTTCTCTCTTCTCTTCTCTCTTCTCTTCTCTCTTCTCTTCTCTCTTCTCTTCTCTCTTCTCTTCTCTCTTCTCTTCTCTCTTCTCTTCTCTCTTCTCTTCTCTCTTCTCTTCTCTCTTCTCTTCTCTCTTCTCTTCTCTTCCTGTTGTAATTCTGTTCTATTGACATTCTATTCTAATCTATTTTCTTTCCTCTAGTTTGTGAAAAGAGGCACATTATGTAGAAGCAGCTCCGAGGACGAGTGCGAGTTGAAGGAATATTGCAACGGCACCTCTGGGGAGTGCACACCCGACCTCTGGGTCATGGACGGGCATCCCTGCAGCAGGAACACCGCCTTCTGCTACCAGGGAGTATGCCAGACAGCCGACAAGCAGTGTCAGAAGGTCTTTGGCCAAGGTAAGGGATTGCAGGAGGGGGGCTGGCTGTCATGTGGGAAATGCAAAGTCCTGGAAGGGAAGCATTGTAGTGGGAAACCCCGGCAGCCCAACCCATGTGTGCGGGCGAAAAGGGCAGGAGATGTGGAGGAAAGGGAGGAAACGTGTTGGGCTGCCTGTCCATCGGTGTGCTGCTGCGGCATGGGTTAGTCTGCGGGTGTTTGTAAGGGACCAGGTCCCCGTAGCCGGAGTGGACGTGTCAGTGAGAGAAGAGATCTCACGGAAGTTGATCCAAGCTGGTTGAAAGAGCAAGCAGCCGAGGGGCTGGTGGAAAAGCACGAGTGCACCACAGGAAGGGTGCCCAGGGACAAGGGTGGGCAGCTGGCCTGGCTGTGGCTGGCATAACTGAAGTTGGAGGGGCACAGCACATCTGCCAGGAGACATGGGACTGCACTGGCGGCATGCTGTTGGGTACAATGCACTCGTGAGTGCCCTGGGCACCTGGAGAAATGGCTCGCAATGAGCATCTGCCTCATGACCGCTGAGATGTGCAATGTGCACATGATGTGTTGCAGCACTGATGCTGTTCCAGGGAGGCTGGCAATGAAGGAGCAGTGTGTAGTCTGAAGTGGTGGTGGGAGCAGTCGAGGGACAAGGGTGGGCAGCTGGCCTGGCTGTGGCTGGCATAACTGAAGTTGGAGTGGCACAGCACATCTGCCAGGAGACATGGGACTGCACTGGCGGCATGCTGTGGGGTACAATGCACTCGTGAGTGCCCTGGGCACCTGGAGAAATGGCTCGCAATGAGCATCTGCCTCATGACCGCAGGGTCATGAGATGTGCACATGATGTGTTGCAGCACTGATGCTGTTCCAGGGAGGCTGGCAATGAAGGAGCAGTGTGTAGTCTGAAGTGGTGGTGGGAGCAGTCGATGGGGGACACTGTCGTGCGGGACGGGGCTGGCTAGCTGCGAGTGCTGTCCTTTCCAGCCAGGTGGATGGTCTCATTCTCTGGGATGCAACTCCCAGAAATGTCCCGGAAGGTCTTGTGGCTGTCCTGGGGGGAGCCTGGCATGGAGCCGATGGCCATGCAGGGGTGCAGAAGGGAGGCAGCTGGAGCATCCCACTGCGGCAGGCTGTAGGGGTCATGAGGGCGAGCAGGCTGGGTCTGAGCTCCCACACAGCCAAGGCTCCAAATGCCTGTGAGCATGCAGGTGGCCCCGGGCATCACTGAGTAGCGGGTATAGTGTGTGGCCTAAATGGTGATGCTGGCATGGAGCCGATGGCCATGCAGGGGTGCAGAAGGGAGGCAGCTGGAGCATCCCACTGCGGCAGGCTGTAGGGGTCATGAGGGCGAGCAGGCTGGGTCTGAGCTCCCACACAGCCAAGGCTCCAAATGCCTGTGAGCATGCAGGTGGCCCCGGGCATCACTGAGTAGCGGGTATAGTGTGTGGCCTAAATGGTGATGCCCAACCCCGAGGCGGAGAGAGACTGTTGGACAGACCATGAGTGTTGTTATGTGTTTGCAGGTGCCAAGAACGGGCCCTTGGCCTGCTACGAAGAAATTAACAGCCAAAGGGACAGAATGGGACACTGCGGCTCCAATCGCCGTGGTTACCAGCATTGTGCATGGAAGTAAGTGCCATAGCAAGGGTGCCGGGGTGCTCTGACCGAAGCGTGGTCTGCCATGGAGCGGGGAACCCGGCCCCATGGCAGGGAAGAGGCAGAGCGCAGATGGGCTTCCTGAGCTCAGCCGCTCATCGGCGGAGAGAAACGTGCCGTTCCGGGGCTGGGGTAGGCAGGGGCACTGGATGTGCCCGTGCAGAGCCGGTCAGTGCACAGGCTGGGAGGGGGGGATGCGGAAAGGGCCCGTGGTGGATGTAAGCGTGTGTCCTGGTTTCGGCTGGGATTTTCTTTCTAGTAGCTGGTATAGTGCTGTGTTTGGATTTAGGATGAGAATAATGTTGATAACACACCAATGTTTTAGTTGTTGCTGAGCAGTGCTTACACTAGTCCAGGACTTTTCAGCTTCTCATGCCCTGCCAGTGAGAAGCTGGGAGGGGGCA